CTTGCTGCAGTACATGTCCAGCAATGCTGAGCGTGAGTTCAGTCACCTCCCAGTCCTGGAGCATCGTTTTACATTTTCCCAGAGTGAAGCATAAACCATACTTAGACGCCTCCATCACTGAACGGTCCAAAACGCTCTGAAAGGTTTGTGCATCATCCCCCAGCAAGGCGATATCATCGGCATAGTCCAACTCCGTGACTATATCTCCCGGTAGGAGCCCACATCGTAGTTCTGGACACCTTCCAGTGCTCTTTGGACAAAATCTTCGATGGCGAAATTGAGTGGGAAAGGTGAAATAGGGCAACCTTGGCCAACACCGCTGGTCACAGCAAATGAAGAAGAGTGCGTGCCGTAAGCCCTGACTTTGCCCGATGTGTGACTGTAAAGTTCTTTCAGGATGGTTACAAATTTGTCGAGCACACCCTTCTTCAGTAAACAGTTCCACAACGCAGTTATTTCTACTGAATCAAATGCCGCTCGGATGTCTAAAAACAATACGGTTGTTGGCCGCCGGTGGATGTGACGAAGTTCGAGAAGTTAGCGAAACGTGGAGATTTAGTCGATGCAGCCGCGACCGGTACGGAATCCGGCTTGTTCTTCTCGGGAAAACTCCTCTCTAGTCGTTGAACGCCTGTGAAGTAAGACCGACACGAAGATTTTGGATGCGACGGAAATTAACGAGATTCCGCGGAGGTTACAGTAATCGGCGCGGGAGCCTTTCTTGTGAATCGGAACAATGACCGATTCTCCCAATGAGTTCGGAACCTTCTGCTCAGTCCAAACTTTCGTGAACAGCGATAGGATTTCGCTGACAAATACACTCTTGCCATCTTTGAATAGAGCCGGTGGTAGGCTGTCGGAACCAGGAGCCTTGTGGTGTTTAAATTATTGGATTACATCTCGGATCTCTGTTACATTGGGGGGGGGGGCTGTGGAGACAGGCCAAGCATCATCCATTGGAGCTGGAGTTGCCACAGGGGACTGTGTTGGGTGGTTGAATTAAAGGGCGAAATGCTCTGCCAGCGACCGGATCACTTGCAAAAGTTGGTTATCTTCGTGCCGTCTGGTTCGCAAGTCGTCTGGCTGATTGCCTGGGAATTGCAACTGATGGCCCTGATGCTGCAAACTAGACATCGGAGGTTGCCAGCTGATGTAGCGGCTTCCATCTCATCAGCCTGTTTTGACCACCAAGATTCACGATCAGAGTAAAGGCTTGCTTTCAGCCGTTACTTACTAGACCGGCGGTGTTTGTTGTGCTCTGTGCCAGAAGGCACTGCCCGTCGGCGATTGAGCGATTTCGAGGATTTTCCCGAGATCCAGCTTTTGGGCGTGGGGCGAGCGTGGACACAGCTGGACAAACCGTCCGACAGCAAGGCTTGTTGCAGACTTGACCAATGTCGATCAACATCCAGAGTGTGAGAGAGCAAGATTTTTACGAAGCCTTTGTTGGTACTCCTTTACCATTGAGTCCTCCAACTTGTAGGTGTTCAGTCGGGTGTGTTTTGACCTAGGTGAACCACCGAAACGCATGCAAACGGTTTCACATACCAGTGCATGATCGGTATCGACACATGTTGACCAAAATGATCGGCAGTCGCGTACGCTGCTGCGCCACTTGTGACTTATGTCTGTGTGGTCAATCTGTGACCAGCGCTGGGTTGCTGATAGGCAGGCGCCAAGTGGTGTACTGGCTTCCAGGATGACAAAAGCTGGTACTGGAGAGGAATAGTTGATGAGCATTGATGAGCATTGTCTCTCTGTTGCCTGAGCGAACATCATCATATCCATGCGGTCCCCCGAAGTGGCGCTCGCATGGCTGCAGATGACCGACACGCGCGTTGTAGTCTCTTGGTAAAACAATGATGTCTGTTTTAGGAGCAGCTCATGAAGGTTCTAGTAGGACTGGTCCTTGACTATGTCCGAGTTGCAGTCAGTGGGCGCGTCGGGAGAGATCACGAAGAGAGCACGCTTTTCGACTCGACGTCTGCTAGCTTTACAAGAGCCATGTAGCCTCATCTCACAAAGGCTGCTATTGATCGGAATCCAGTTAATCAAAGCAGTCTCGGCTGTAGCATTGAGGGCGATTTCAACACCAGCTTGCCCAGATGCGGCAGACTCATCGTCACCAGAGAGGCGGAGATGGAAGCGGGTGCGTGGGTGGCGCGGTGACGGCATCTAGTAGACCGAGTTAGAGTCCTGAAGTTGTGTTTCATTCAGGCAGCAGATATCAATTCTAAGGGCCTCTAGCGTGTGTGCAAGTCCAGCTTACTGACCGATCTGCAGTGATCTTCGTTCGTTGAAAGCTGCAAGTTTTGACTGCGTTCCGGGTTGCAAGGGCCAATATGGGAGACTTTGGGACTGGCAGCTCTCTGTTGAGCAGTGTGTGGTTGATAATAGAGAGGTAAGCGGAGCCAATGTCCAGATACGAGGTCGCGCACAGGCTTACCGCGGAGCATGTGAGCTGTCTGCTGCATGCGAAGGTCACCAGCACGAGCGTGGAACGACCTTCGACTGTTTTGCCAAATTTAGGAATCGGGTGCAAACTGATTGGCCAGCAAATACGAGCCCGAGTTAACGGAGGCGAATCATTCTGGCAAATATGGAAAATCCGTGGGACGGAATTAACTCACGTTGGCTGAGAGCCGAACGCTTCCAAAATTAGTATGTTTCGTTCACCAATAAATAGAACTGACCTATCGTGTAGAATAGACTCCCTGTTTACCGAGCCTTGGCCTTCTGTATCCCGTCGGTTGGTTGGGCGCGTGACTGAGCAATCAGGCGGTCGTAGTCTCGCAGGCGCAGAATAGCAGCAGTGCAGCAGTACAAAAGCATCTTTACAACATTTGAGTTGGCAGATGTCACGGGAACAGGTTCACTGGTGTAGGTGTGCTTGATCACCATGGAGGAATCAGTTAAAAATGGGTGTGAATTATACAAGGGAAGGGTAGGTAAATGGTGGCGTGTGCTTGTGAAGTTGGCGTAGTAACATGAGTGAATAGCATCGTAGCAGAAAGAGAGCGTGTGAGGGATTGTGGTTGTAAGTCTATTGTTTGTCATTTGGCGAGATACTACCCGGTTGCCGAGGCCGAACTAGATGGTTGTCTTAGGGGGCCCCACCGCGAGCCTTTGATCAGGTATCTAACCTACACGGCAGCAGGGCGATAGGAGGGTATCGCAACCCGTTGAGAGCCGGTGACCAAACAAGTGGTTCATACGCCTTTAGAACCGCATAGGACGAGGGGCCCAATACACCCTTGAATTACAATGCCACTCAGAGAGAGACAAGGGGCAGTGACTATTTAGTGGCGAGTCACTTCCGCCACGTCACAGTATTGTTAAACAGACATGTGGCGTTTTAAAGAGAGAACGCTTGCTAGACGAAAACCCACCACGTCCTGTATCACTGCCGCCGAACCATTCGCTGGAACAGGGTAATCCCTAACCACCCAGCTGGCACCACGAGGAGGTTGTTTGGCAAGGCAGCCGATGGGCCATAGACTGTTAGTTTAATGGTTCAATGGGAGGCTTAGTTCCGAAACATGATCAATGCGCTGAATCGTTTTCGTGCTGCTGGCCCGGATTCCTTCCTACCTGCACTATTTGGGGGTGGAGGTTTGGTCCCTTGCAAAGCACGGATCTACCTGTTCGATTATTTATGGGAGAAGGAGACTGTCTCGACTAACCGGAGTGAATCCATTATATTGGCAATATACACGAAGGTTTGTCGCACCGACTGTGCTAACCACATGGCTATTAACCTAGTGCCAGTTGTGACAAAACTGCTGGCCTCAATTATCGGTCGTCGCCTCACTGCACAACAGGAATCTCAGAGTAGGGAAAAGCTGGAAAGTTTCCACCCTGGACGTGGCTGTGTAGACCATATTCTTGCTCTGCGACAGGTGCCATAACAGCGCCATACATACCGCAGACCGTCAGTAACTGTGTTCCTCGATTTTAAGCGTGCGTTCTATTCAGTCCATTGATGCATTTTGGTCGAAATACTTGCCCGGAAAGGTGTTCTCGTGAATTATGCGAACATTTTACATTCTTTGTACTCTAACATTATAGGTCTCCTTAGGGTCTACGGTGACCTGTGGGATAGCTTTCCGACAGCGAGTGGCGTTCGTCAGGATTGTCCAATTTCCCCATTTTTGTGCACATAATTCTGAGTTCTGGAGGTGGATGGCGATCGTTTCGGCTGTTGCTAATAAGTGACATCTTACCGCTCGTGTGCAGCAGTAAATTGAAAACATTGGTACTTATCGATCTGGTGGTTAAAATCAACTAGATGTACCAACACGCCGCTCGGCACTGTTTTTGTTCCTCCTGCACAAAGCCACGTCAGACAATGCTCACGGATTCTCTCAGACAGCCTCCTGGTTGTTCTTCCTATATAACTTTCTCCACACGAACAAGTAAGGTATACACATAAAGAAGTACTTGACCGAGAAAGCCTGTCCTTGAGTTGAAGCCTTACGATTGGTGTTGAAGTAAATCTTAGCCGCAAGTCTGCCGCGTAGTACGTACAGTTTATGGCGTCGGATAGCTTTCTAGACGTTACCTGCGCTATTCCATCCCCTTTGAACTGCAACGACAGATAAACCAATTTCTTTTCAACCAAATCGGTTTTAGCCATCGGTTCTCGGCACTCCATATTTCTCCGAACAAACTTTTCTGGATAGCCTTTTCTCTCAAAAAGGCCAGCTAAAAAATTCAGCTCGTCCGGAAGCGTGTCCTCACTACATATCCTTCTTGCCCTTTCTGTTATACATTTAACCAAGTTCCGCTTCTGACTTAGTGGGACAAATCTGACAAAATGTGTGTATGGTCCATTCCACGTGGCTTTTCTGTGCACTCTGCGTTGGATCGACTCATCTGATCTTCTACTAATTTGGACTTCTAAGAAAGACATCGTACCATTTCGCCTACTTTGCATTTAGTACAGCGTCCCCCAATTCGCCTACCTGGTACTTAATTTCTAACCTTTCTTTCCCACCTAGGGGAACTACTACTGGTCTTATTTGACTCTCGCGCTTCTCATCATACCTGCCGTGGTTATGACAACTTTTAGTTTGGTTTGGTACGTCCTGGACCGGAAGTTGAACGTGGAACCACCGCGTACCTGCCGCGCTTGGACGCTCCGATTATTCTTTCATGGGCTACAATTAGCCCCGCTGGTTCGGTAAGTTTTGTCTTCACTCTTTTTGTGGGTCATCGTTGACGAATCTTTGTTTGCAAAGCATCACTCGGCTCCATAAACGGTGTGGCTCTTTTATGGGGTTTTCCTCATTGTTTTTCATATCGCAGAAGTCATCGGACTCCACTTGTACCCTCATTTAAGACTGAGACTGTATTTAAGAGCAAGTAGAAAGGTTTCTGTACAACTCTATCGAATTACGAAAAATCAAAACATTTAGTTGTGAACCATCAGCAGTTGTGTCTGGTCCATTAATCGTTTATCCTTGTTCGGTTAGGAATTTGTACTAGTGTCATTATTTCCGGGCATACAATGTCTTCTTTTGGCATTGTATGTGCATCGTTTCACAAAAGCACAGTTTTCCGAAATAATCGTCGATATGGGTTTTAAAACACTTCACAGAATCGGCCTCTATTAATCCTTCGGGTAGTGTATTCCCTAAGTTTACGATTCTTCGTTCGATACAAAGGTGATGTGATACTTTATTCATGTTGGGGGCCCTGAGTTTGTAACCGTGTCCTCA